TTGTCGCCTACTTCAAGTGCAGCTTCTTTTATTATGTCATTGAACTAGTTATTGATTTGGTCTATGTTGAGATCTTCGTCGCGGAGGAGTGAATATCTGTTTTGGATGTTTAGGCTAAATTCTGTTGCTCTGATCCTCAAGTTAGCCAAGTTTGGCTGTGGTTTACACATCAGTTTGTTCCTTTCCCTTCTGAGGTGTATTTTAATTTCGCCTACATTTACTTTATTTATAACCTCTACATTTTTTTTTTATCATATCGCGCCTATTTGAAATTATGAAGTCAATTTCGTTTTTGACATCAGAAGGCGACTTCCATGTCCACTTCCGTTCTTGTCTTTTTTCTAAGAATGTATTCATGATATTGAGTGATCGAGCCTCCGCAAAGTCGACTAGCATTTGTCCCCTCTCGTTCCTAGTGCCTATTCCATGGTTCCCTACTACGGTTTCGCCCTCTATCTTTTTACCTATTTTGGCATTAAAACCCCCCATAATTATTGTGAAATGGGTTTTTGTTCTCTCGCTGGCTAAATAAACATCTTCATAGAAGCTCTCTATTTCTTCATCACCGTGGCTGCAGGTTGGAGCATAGACTTGAATCATTTTTAAGTTGTACCTAGTGTTTAGTTTTATTGTTACAGAAGCCACTCTTTCGCTGACACTATAGAATTCTACATTGTTCTTTTCTAAGCGTTTGTGTATTAAGAATCCTACCCCTAATTCCTGTTTGCTACCCAGAGGTTTTCCTCTCCAATAGCGCACGTGTCTATCATTTATTAACCTGCTCCGCCTAGTCTTCTAACTTCGCAGAGTCCTACTACATCCCATTTAATGGAAGAGAGTTCCTCTAGTAAAGCTAGTAAGTCGGATTCAGTTTTCATGGTCCTTATATTGTATGTGCAAAGGTTCATCAACGTAGGGCGGCCTGTCTTTACCTGGATATTTTTAGCACCCCCTGCTCCGGAGCGATCCTGATCGCCGCCGTAACCAGGGGCTCCTTCGCCTCCGGGGAATGAGGGCCATTGCTGGGTGTGTCTTTTCATGGAGGTGGACAGCCGATTTACCTTCCACCTACTGGCTTAGGTGTATCTTGGTGGGAGGGGAGTCATTTAGCCGGAATGCCATTGATAAGACCCCCAGCAGGTTTGGTCCTACCTGGTGTGGACTTAGGAGCGGCAATGCACGGCCTGCTCACTACTCCCGTGAGCTGGGCTTAAATATCAGAAATGCATATATGTTTTATTTTATTTTATTTATTAACTTCACTTGTGCGTATGTGCACCTGATGCAGACAAATTTATTCCCGCACATGCTCTAAGTACTACGCATATGCTCATTCCCACGCATATGCATATGCAAGCATACACCTTTATTCTTGTATCTATGCTTATGGATATGGATATTTATTCCTACGTTATAAATAACTACATACATGTCCATCATAGTCTGACCTAGTCATATGTTCACATCGCCTGTCCCTTTATGCGCTTGTTATATGTTATTGATAAGTGAGTGAGTATACATGAGTGTATACTCACCTATGTATATGTAAACACCCCTTTTTGCATACCTCGCAAACCTACATATCACTGCATGTGCTCACGCATCCGTGTATGAGCAGCATGCAGTAGTGTCCCCCCCTGTATATATGTGTATACATCTGTACTTGCTTTACATATAACTACCTCTACGTACATACATACGTACATACATACATACATATACTTATTGATCCACCTTCCTACATCCTGCAAACACCTATATACGTATACCTATACATATACATATATAATTACCTACATATGTCTACCTATACATTCACCCACGCATACACATATACACGCTCATTATATATACCTATATACACATTCACATATATACATGCTTATATACACATCCATATGTACACATTCATACATGAATATATACACCATATGTACAAATTTGCATATTTACGCCTTTAAACCCATGTACACACACACACACACGCACACACACACACACACACACACACACACACACACACACACACACACACACACACACACACACACACACACACACACCACACACATATATATATATATATGTATATATTCACATCTATCTATCTATCTATCTATCTATCTATCTATCTATCTACCTATCTATGTATGTATCTATCTATCTATGCCTGTATATATGTATATATATATGTATGTATGTATGTATGTGTATATATATATATATATATATATATATATATATATATATATTTATGTTCATATACATACTCATGTAAATAAATATATATATATTTGTTTATTTATTCATCCACACACACACACACATATTTGTATATGTATATATGTACACACACACACACACACACACACACACACACACACACACACACACACACACACACACACACACACACACACACACATATATATGTATATATATATATATATATATATATATATATATATATATATATATATAGAGAGAGAGAGAGAGAGAG